ACTTGGTAGAACACTGAGAAACATGGCCTGTGACTTTGGAAACAATTTCTCTTTTGATTGGAAAACTAAATAGAGGATACAGATCCAAAGGCTCAGCTAAGCACCTTACCTGTCAGAACAGAGGCATCAGGCCTGGCCTCCGGTGGTGAGTGCAAAAGCAGCAGGTTGGCCTCTGCTACCTACCAGGGCCCACTCTCCTAGTCTTCCTCTTGTCTCCTTTGCAAGGGCATACATGGTTCGCTTCACAGATTTCAAAAGGAGAGCTACTGAAGGCACCATAGCTATCACTGTTATTTTTCTTTATACTATTTCATGACCTCAAAATAAATCGAAGCCGGATGAAGTGCCAGAAGGCATGCATTATCAGAGAACACATACAAACTATTCCTGCAAACTCGTTTTAGTAGCAGGGGAGAGGGTGCAAGTTCTATGCACAGACAGAATTAAAAGGGTGTCTATAACAAGATTTGCATGTGATAAATATACTACATAAAAGAGATTCTGAAACTACCTTACATAATTATTACTTTTTAAAGCTTGAAATTTAGTTGTTGTTTTTAGCTAAATAAAGCAATAGTCTGCAGCTTAAAGCATAATTGTTCACGGATTCAAGCATTTCTTGAATGCTTCTCTCCTGCCATGCACCATTGTAGGAGCCAAGACCCAGATGGAAACACATGTGACCAGAGGCCTCCCCTCCTGGAGCTTCTATGCCCATGGGGAAAGACTCCAGACATTGACCTCAACCAGCGGGGACAATATGTGTCACCAAGCCTTTTCTGAAAACTTATGACTGAGTTGACAGGAACCTGCATAGAAAAGACCAACAGAGCTGGCTTTTACCCTTTGGAGTTCTGCTAAACCACGGAATTCTCAAACCTTCTCTAATAATGAACCAAAAATGCTATTTTTGCTCAGGCTGAATTAGTGATTATTTTTACAGTTAGTTTTTTTTTTTTTTCTTGCTCCTTTATGAAAACCTTTCCTGGGCCAGTATGTGGCATGGTGGTAAAGGTACTGGACTCCCACATAGCCAACCGTGGTTCAAGGCCAAACCTGGTGGCTTGAAAATCATGCCAGGCGCATGTGCCCAACATACCAAGAGGAGAATGGATGAGAAGGGATTACAGCATGGTCACACTGTGTAGGGGGTGATTTCTCACTTTTCCTCTCACTGCCTCTCTGTCCCTCTCTCTCCAGTGACCACACATGCCCTATAGCAAAAACTTAAAAAAAATAAATAAAGTCTTTAAATTTTCCTTTCCATTTTTAAGTATTTCATCCCTTTGGAATTGACTTTGGGCATGGTTTGAAGTGGGGATGCTATTTCATCTTTTTCTATGTAGTTAAACACATGTCCTGCCAGGATTTGTTGCATACTGTTCTCTTTCCTTGCTGGATGTGGAAAGCAACCTCCATCGTGCATCATGACTTGGTCACATCTGGGAGGTCACAGTTCTGTACTTCCTATTCTATGACTCTGTTTTTCTACCCCTGTGATTACCACTTTCTAGAAGCAAATTTCATACTGTGTATCACATCCTTAGGATAAATATCTTGTCTTCTGTCTTTCTCATAAGCTCTTAAGACAATAGTGACTCTGACCTAATTCATCTTTTTATTTCTCATAGCATGTAAATATTTCTAGACCATAAGTTTATTTGCTAAATAAGCTAAATCAGGTCAGTGGCAATATTGATGTTTTGATCTGTAATGTCATAAATATCCCTTTTCCTCAACTTACTCTGAATAGAACTAAATTTCTGCACACGTTAACTGTATTTCCTTTTTTTCTATATTCTTATTCTCCTATCTGGGGCCCCACTGGTAAGGGAGGGCTGCTCTTTCTGTGGCTAGCTACTACCTAGGGAGAGTAAAGCCTTGCCTGGGAGCATGCCTTTCCTATGCGAGTAACCGAGTTCGAAGCTCAGGCCCTCCAACCCCCTCCTCCATCCATCCAGCCCTGCCACTACAGGTCAGTAGACTTCAGGCTAATCACCCCAGGCCAGGTACCAGTCAACGAGGGCCAGCCCTATCTCCTTCTTCCCACTAGCGATCCTAAGCTGCTTCCCTGCCTACCCGTGCTTTCCCATGGAAATGACAAGCAAGGCTGTAGCCAAGCTCACTTCTCTCCTGCTCCCAACTGACCGTGGTGCGTCCCACTGCAGCCTGTCTCCAGGGACCTTCTTCCTACACCAGTCATTTGTGTGCTTTCACACCGTACCCTACCAGCTTAAAACAGATTCCAGGCACATTTTTAAAACAAGGCACTACACGGTTAGCTGTTCTTTTCGGCAAGCATAAAAGCACTTGAACCAAGTATAAAACTTAACTGCTAGCTCGCCCGCAATGAAGGAGTCTGCGATTTCAGAGGCAGCTCATTATTCTAAGCGTCTGATAGTTGGGAGGGTTAGTCATGCAGCAGCGATACACTCAGACTGGCTCGGTGCTCTCTGCCTGTCTGAAAGATCAGGCTGGCATGGTTTTATTTTGTACATTCATGAAGAAATTGTTCTCTTAAGAACAGAAAGTTAAATTCAGAACTGTGATAATCCAGAAACCCTATTGTGTTACAGTTTGTCCTTTTCACGGATGACAAGATGAACTATTGAACTGAGTGTGCTGATTCTCTACAGCAGTATTTCAAAGAAGAGCTAGGTATTTGGAGGAGTTACTCAAACATAGAGTTCATCATATAAAATTACCTCATGCGAGTTTATTAAATTGAACTGCCCAATGCATGCTTCAAAATGGGATCAAAACTAAGCTTCAAAGACAGACAAAAGAAATAATCACCCAATTTTCTTTCTTTTCAATAAAGATAATTAAAGCTAGTCCTCTAAATTTCTTTCTTTCTTGCATGAGAAAGAGAAATGCCCTCCACATACTAGAATCCACTTCGCCCCTCCACCCCCACCTTGCTGCCTGCCAGGGTTACGTGTGTGCACACACGCGCCGCATGCACAGGCTGAATTGGAAAGCGAATGCCAATCCTCCGAATGATGTCAAGCATTGCAAACGTTGCCCACCGTGGTGCCACTGCAACTGGGCCCAAGACAGAGCTCTTGTCCAAGAAAACGGAACTTACTGAAGGGTCAGCGCTGCCTTCAACAGCACCATGATGATGAGCGTTTCTGGGATAATCTATATATTGGGCCTAAAGATGCTGCTTCTTCCATAAAGGCATTAATTCTAAAGGAGTTCAAAGGGCTTTACAGTTGTAATTTTAACAGAAACACAGTGGAAAAGGGTCAGCATGGCATTGCATTTGGAGTCAAACATTCTGGAAGAGCATTCCAATTCTAGCATTTCCTTCCTACCTAGTTAACATGATTTCTTTGGTTCTATCCAGGCAGAAATGCCAAGACTTGGCCTGCTTACCATACTGAATCAGAGAATAAATACCTCACAGATCTCTGTGGCCCGTTAACTCCCATGTAAAGTTATAGAATTACTAGGCAAAATATTATCTATTCTATGATGAATTTTATCTGACACCATTTTTTATGTGTTAATTTGATGAAGTTTTTATGTTACTCTATCAAGAATTTCCAAAACTATCAAAGACTCTGGTTAAATTTTATCAAAATGAAAACTAAGGTCTGCTTGGTAGGAAAAAAAAAAATTATTCGAGGTAAAATTTTAGGCTTTATTTACAATTTAGAAATACTTTTTAGCATTTTAAGAACTTTTTTAACTTAATATATACTTTCTAGTTTGTTGTCTTCATATAAAATATCCATACAAACTGGGGAGGACGGTCTTCAAAAAATTCATGAAAATTTGTATTATTAAAAAAATATACAATTTCATAATTTTTTTGCACCGAGACAAACTCAAACTTTAATTCCATTTCCCACAAACATTCTGAAATCCCCATGTATGTGAGCATAGGTGTGGCAGGGGAGGAAGATTTTAGATCTGATGAGCAATTCCTCTACCGAGCTCCTCAGAGAACTAGTTCCCCATGACACCTGTCAAAATGAAGCAAAACAAAACCCCAACTCCTTGTTTTTCCCGTTCCCATCAGTCCTATCCCCTGCATGAGAGGACTTTGTGAGATTCCCTAACGTTACTTGTGCATGTGTGTGTGCATGTGCATGTGAACAGCTAAACTGCAGCATGCTTCCACTCACCGGGCATACACAGACTTACGTGTTCACTCATTTGTTCCTCCAGTAACCCTGTGAGGTAAGGACCATTATTACACCCATCTTATAAAAGGAGAAATTGAAGGGCAGAGATTAAATAACTAACTGAAGCTACATAGTAATTTTTGGGGGGCACAGCCTGGATATAGACCTAGAAATTTTGGTTGAATAGTCCATAAACAAATCTTAGACACAAAATACTAAGGGAGGAAAGTTGCAAAACATATAGAATATAAACTGTTTTTGAAGTCTAAAAACAAAACCAAGTGACACATTATTTGAAGGCATAGGTCTATGTGGTAAAATGCAGAGAAATCGAGGGAACTATTGTAAAAACGAATTTGGGCTAATGTCCCAAGTTGCCAGGAGAAGGGCAGAGAGGGCCTCTGGGAACCTCATGGGTTTGGGTGCTGTTCTAGCTCTGATGTTGAGGCCTGGCTTACTGGTGTTCATTTTATTACTGAGGCCCATGACTTACATTTATGTCATAATTTCATATATATCAACAATGCATAACAGGAAATTTTAAAAATATTCATCAGTAGTCTCTCTGAACTTCTGGACTTTTGACATATGTAAACTGGAAAAATCTCTCCTGAGTCCACAGTGGCCAGGCTGGGCTTGAGCACCATCACTCATCGGGCGGTGGGTGGTGGTCATCTATATAACATGCTGTAACCCATGCCTGGTCAGTGTCTCAGAGCTCCCTCCATGTAGGACTTGAGAATTTATGACTGTGATCAGGCAGCTGGAGGTGGCACTCTGTCATTGCTGTGCAGAGGGGTCCCTGGGAAACTCTGGCAGCTCCCAGCTGTTTGTACTGGTGCCTCTTCTTCAAATATGCAGTACCTGTTAAGTTTGAAGCATCAGCGGGACTCAGCTGTAGCCAATGGCGGGCATCGGCGGCAGCCACAGCATCCGTGGGCGCGTCACGCTCCGG